GCCTGAGCCGAGCAGGGAAATGTCAGGAAAGAAAGGAAAGGAGGTGTGTTATCCTTCAGATGTTTTCTTCATGCCCCGAGTTCCCAGCTAATTAGTTTCTAAATCTGCTCCTGGAGGCTCGAGTTTCCACGGGATAATATTTTCCTGTGCCAGTTCTGTGCAGCTGGGGTAGCCATGTGGGATGAGGGGGGAAAAAATAATGATTTACAAAGTGAGGGGAGAAAAAAAAGAGTCAGAAGCCTGAGGAAGGTTAGAGTTGTTTTGGTGTGTTTGTGACCATTAAGATAAATTCTGGCGTAACTTGTTAACAAAACTCCCTTTTAATTTGGTAGATTGAACATTTCCCTCTTGTCAGGTTGGAGGGGGACACATCTGTCCCTACAGGCAATACCTTGCTAATTGCAGCTCAAGAAATATTGACTTTTTTTTTAGTGGGAAGGTTGCTTCCTTTTTTTTTTCCCCTGTCCCCAAATTATGCTGAGATGCTGAATTCACAGGGCCCTTAGCAGAGCTGCATTATGAATTACTCTTGGATTGCAGCACATTTCCTCCAATGCCCAAGGTTATTTTTTATTCTTTCTACAGCTCTGCTCAGAGAAACAAAGCAAATAAGAAGAAAAATATTATTAACACTCAAGATGTTTCATAATGACACTCCCAAATCTCCCGTGGAAGGTATAAATTAACCCCTCTCTGCACTTACTTTTAATATGCGGAAGCAATAACGTGTGATTCTCATCTGTTTCTGTGATGAGGGAGAGCAGGAAACAAGTAGAAAATCTTCCAAGTATGGCCCATGTGGGACATGGAGAACCCAGCTCCAACAGGCTGGGAATGAGCAATAACCCTTTAGTTACGGTGAGAGTTTAAAAATGTAAATGTGTTTAAGTGGCCTTCAAAATTAAAAGCATCCCGTGCCACTTCCAGGGGAGTTGGAGTAATGATAATGTGCATTATTATGGGCTGCCTGCAGCTTCTGCTGAGTGGGCTTCAAAGTTACCTTTCAATCACGAGCCTGATTTGGCTCTCGACAGCCAAATTCCAGCAAAAGAAGCTAATCTTCCTGAAATTCATCTGCCACACTTCACCTCCAGCTAAAGCTTCTTAGGGCTGCTTGATTGAAGGGGGAAGAGGAGTCTGAAGAAGTGTTTAACTTTTCCCTTTCTCTGCTGCTCTTCTGTGTTTATTAACTTATAAAAATGGGCTGATCTGTCGGTGGCAAATACAGTCCTATTTTGTTGGCTTTGTGGACAGAGAGTGTTGTGCAGGGTGTGCCTGTCTCTAGATCCTCTGTGGTGAGGCACGAGTAGATCTCGAGGAGAGAGATTTATATATATATTTATATATGAAAATGAAATGCAGGAATGGCCTATGCACGTTGTCATGGTGGAACTATGGAAAGGAGACAGTGGGAGATGGGATGAAAACAGACCGTGTTTGGCAGAGGTGCCTTTTGTGCTGTCACTTGCTGGCTTAATAAAAAGCTCTCTGGTTTAAAGAGGTTTTTTGTTTTTTTTTTTTAGGAGAAATGACTCTCTGGCTGTTGTTTGCAGGGGCAGTAATATTTAGGGCTGTATTTATTAGCTTATCTTGGCTGTTCAATGTTTATGGCTGTTGTTTATGGCCTGTGGAGCAGGGGAGTAAAGGAGAGGAGCCAGCAGACAGATAGTGGGAGACCCTGTGGCTGCTGGAGAGGTGATATATGGAACAATTTGTAAAAGCACCCTTTAAATATGTCAGGGCTTTTCCCAGGAGACTGAATGAAGGGCAACAGTCAGGGAACATGGGCTGAACCCACTTAGTTTTGAGCCTGACGTTTGGAGGTGGAAAATCCCCCTTAAAACTTCAACTCCGAGGGAGATTTTTTGCTTTTTGCTGCTGGAAGTATTTCAGTGTGGGAATTGTGTGTTACCAGCGGGCTGATTTTAGTGCTGCTTAACTTGTCTTTCTCTGTGGGGTGTGTCAAAACCAGAAGTGCATGGAAAGTTGATGGGAATGTATTTAAACAGAGGAAGGGGAGGCCGAGCAAAGGAACGTGGCACAGAACGGCTGGAGGGAGCAAACAGGAAAGGGGCTTTGAATATATTCTCTGAGAAGAAAAAGTCATTCTAAAGGACAATTAAGCTAAGTAAACAATGAGAAGCAGAATTTTTAAAAAAATGCTGAAAATGAATGTAATGCCATAAAAAATTTAATTTTAATAATGATTAAATTGGGCACAAACCCAGTTTTTACACTTTGACTGACCCAAGTTTGAGATGTTGTTTTCCCCCTTCCCTTCTTCCTACTGACTGTGGTGATTTTGCTGCTCTATTTTCACTGCTGATGTGGAAGTGCTGATGCTACGACTTTTGGGAGGTCTGTCCTAATTAAGATGTAGCAAATAACTGGGTTTTGGTGTTTGTCAGACCCCATAGTAAATAACATCAGAGATGATACAACTTAACACTGATTAAACATCCAGCTTAGGTCTGGCAAGGGAGATAGACAAAAACAAATCAACTGAATGTTTCATTGTTCGGGAAGGAAAACCCCAAGAAGGCAATAATATCTCATTTTCCACCCCAAACTGTACCTGCATTTCTTATTTGTCCATACAACTGAGGCTCCTTGTTATTGTTTTAAGCCCCCAAATGAAGGAGACCCTTCGGAGGGGAGCTGGATTGATACCTTTTGGACGAGTTTTGCTGTTTGGGTTCATTTCCAGCCCAGTCTGTTCACTGAGACTTTCCCACTACCTTTAATGAGCTTTGCTTTGAAGTGTTTATGCAAAGAATAAGTCCCCCACAAACTGCAGACTCCCAGCATTAGCTGGAGCCTGGAAAGGTCTGGCTGGGATTCTTGTCACCCTCATTAAAACTCAGAGGAAAGTTGGTTTGATTTCTGTCTGTCTTGGTGGAATTAATCCCTCCTCTGCCTACTACTAAATCATCTCTGCCAGACATGACTCATCTTTAGGATTCATAAATTAGAAAGTGAAAATATCTCTCTGAGCCACAGAGTACTCAGTAGCAGCCATTTTTAAAAAAATTCCCATCGGAAGATCCCTTTGACAGTCTCTCTGCAAAGTCTTTATCCCAATGCACTGTCACTTGGGCACTTTCTAATTTAGCCAACTGTGTGGCACTGCTGCCTGGAAGTGCAAACGTTTTTGGTATTCGAGCTTAACGTTTGTTTGTAATTTGCTGAAATTGCTAATTACGACTCGAGTAAGGGACAGGGTTCCTGTAAACCCCTCTTGAAAAAATGTTTAGTCTCCAGCTGTAATCCACGACCAAAGGGGGTGCTGTGCTGACTTTAATCAAGGCACTGTGATTATCCCTGAAGTTTGAAACAGTCTGAGAAAGTCTGTCTTGAAGTGTGTGTGGGAAACATGTAATGATTCTATTTACTGGAGTGTAAATTGTGGAAGCCTTGCCTGTAAATAATGTGGACCCGAACTGATCTATAATCAGGTGTACTCTTATTCTCCCTGCCTAGTGAATATATTTGGTACTGGTTGTCCAAGATGATATCCAGACTCTAAGGAAGCTTATTAATGAGTGGAGGTGTGTGAAAAGCTTGCAGGATACAGGGTGGGAAGTGTCCTGCTGCTGTTCCCGTGTGTGCTGCTGCCAGTTTGGAGAACGCGTCACACTCAAAGCGTATCTTTTTAATCCAGCTGAATTTGCACCTGCCCAGTGGAATAGGCACAGTATTGATTCTTTTCAGACCATGGATTTTGGGTACTAAGTTGTGAACTTTGTCATGCTAACCACCAAAACACTACGCTTTTGCTCTGAATAAAAGAAAGGTCCATAAAAGTGGGAGGGGACATTTAAACATTAAGAGTGCAGAAAGGTTGTTCCTTTCAAATACCACACAACAACATATATTGCACTCCCAAGTTACTGGGACATAGATTGGCTGAGGAATTTGGGCTGTTGCAAGCAGCACTCGGGGAGTAAAAACATGCTCTGCCTACATCTGAGGGAACCTTCAGGTCAGTGAAAAGGGCACAGGTATTGATCAAAGCGTGCTAAAGCTAAGCTTAAATTCCAAGTTACACTTAGGAAACTAAGGGGAGAAAAACCAGCCTGAGAGAACTGCAAGGAATGGAGAGAGAGGGTAAAGAACAGGGATCTATTTTATTCTCAAATTAGGTGTCACGTGGATGGTAGAGACAAATTCCTGATAGAAATGTCCCATTTCTTTAAGCCCACTGAATCTGGCTCGGATATCAACTTAGCTCCCCAGCCAAAAATTTTCACCCCCAAGCACCTAATTATATAATACCAAAAAATATCTATATTTAGGTGTCTAAATAGAAGTGACCTGGATTTGAGAGTCAGCTGCACCTGAAGTTTCTTTAGCTCTGCAGAGGAGTCACTGAGTGCTGCAATTTAAACCCACTGAAAATGAGGCCACCTGGCAAGACAAGAGACATTTATCTTGTGACTAGTGCAGCTTCTTTGGGTGGAGCAGGAGCAAGGGAGGACAAAATAATTGATGTATGGCTTTTTGTTTTGTTGTCCTTGCTCCTTGCACCTTGAGGCTGCTGCCTTAAATGACACCAGGCTTTTCAGGTGCTCAAAACCTATTTTTAAGAGCCAGTGGTGGAGGAATGATTCGAGGCCTGAGCCCTGGGCTTTCCACTGAGCTGTATCAGGAGCGCCCGAGGAGCCAAGCTTGGGGAAGAAAGGAAAGGAGGAATAAGATCACAGGTTTTTCTACCCTTGCTGTCTCAGACAAGTTTCTCCCCAGTTTCAGGTTGGGAAACACTACGGGGATGAAAGTCATGCATTTCCCAGGAACTTGTTGCGTACAGTTGTAGTTAGAAACAGGCAGAAGGCATTGTTCTCCTTTCTTTTAAAACTGCTTGTTACCTCTCAGCAAGTCGTCCTGATTTTCATTTCCCAAACAAGATCCAGGAAAACTGATGTCCTTCCTTTCCTCCCTCCCTCCCTCCCTCCCTCCCTCCTCCCTGTTAGTCCAAAAAATAGCAAAGGAAAGGTACCTACGGGATTCAGGAGAATGGTGAGGAACAGTTCACCTCCTCGGATACTTTTGTCCAGCTCCTGAGGACCCCCAGGATATTCCTTGTAAAAAATAGTGTGAGTGAAAAGGCCACAGGTCTGTCGAGGGAGCACCTGAGAACAAAAGAAGAGCGCCTTACAGGGATTGCCTAATCCATGCAGAGATGTAACTGAGCCGGGGAAGGGCTTTTGTCTGCCTTAATTCAATATTTTGATGTTTTCACTCAGTGAAAACAACAAACTAAACCTAGGTTCAGCAGAGCATTTGGATACATGTGTAAATACACTGATGATTCTGAGTCTATTCTGGTAGTAACTGGACTCTGTGCAGGGTTAGGACATTCCTTCTGCCTTGTTTAGGGGCTCACAATTTTGGCTTGATGTGCACAGGCAATATTCAGGTCAGCTGGGACTTGAAACCATCCCGGGACCTGCCCTTGAAATAGGGGACAGGCCAAATCATTCTGTACATTTCCCTGCCCTCTGTGCTCTCTGAAGTGCGTGTGAGGAGCCTTCTCTCTCTCTCCACACATGTGCAGGGTTTGGAACACTCAGACAAGGTTGTCCCAATCCCTGGCTCTGGGAATTTCGGAAGCAAAGCTGACACCTCGGCCTCGGGGAAGTGTCATCTTTGCAGGAGGAGATTACTTACACCTGCTCACCTTCCCAGGTGATGGGTTTCTAATCCTTTCATGCATAAAGATGAAGCAGAGCTGGAAACACAGGTCTTAGGCAGTTTAATGAATTTCACGGGGTTGAAAGTTGATGGCACCACCAGCACGTTTGCTTTCCCAGGATTCCATTTGCAGTTGCCTGAGTTTGTGTGACTGGTTTTTCCCCCCCACACACCTCTTCTAAACTGGCTGCGTAACAAACGCACCATTTTGGCATCCTTACAAATCCTGGATGGTGGGGAATTTTAATGGTCGCTGGGAAAGCTGGAGCACAGCATTCCCAGCCCGGTTGGGAGTCCCTGCAGTACAAGTGTCCGAACATGGAAATGCAGTGTACCATGATGCCATTGTGGATGAAGCCCCGTCTGTACCGTGCAGGCTTCAGGTGTGGATACTCTTCCGTGCTGGTCACTCGGATGTGCCAGACCTTCTTCCAGGCCTCGTACAGCTGGATGTGCACGGGATAGACCCCGGAGTGGTGCGGGGCCACCGCGTAGCCCATGCCGGTCGGGATGCCGTGCTCCTGCAAGGCAGCACAGGGGGAGTGTTGGTTTAGGGACAAAAAAAGCCCAGGGAATTATCCAAAGCTCGTTTTTCCTGCACATGGTGCCGTTGGAGCGTCCCTAGGCTGACTTGCAGCTGTTGTATGTAACACAAGCTGACAGTGGAGGGAACCGGAATTCCAGTTTGGTGGCTCCGGAGGAATAAATCATCCTCCTGGATTGTGTGACATTACTGGTTCACAGAATAGATTTGCCACGTGTTTGGATACCCATCCTGCCTGTTTGGCTCTGCCTGAAGGTAATCCATTAAACCAGTGCTAGGCTATCAAACAGCATTAGAGCAGTAAACAGAGGGAAAACAAATTGTTGCTGTGACATACGTGGGATTTTTGTTTCCTATTTCTCAAATAAGAGCAAGATTCCTTCCCTATTTAACAAGTAAATAAATATTCCTTGTAGCTTCTGAACCTGCTTATTTTTTAATATGGTATTAAGGTAGAAGAAAAAGAAAAAAAAGCCGGACTCCTTTTTCATTTCATAAATATTTATATTTAGCTCAATTTCTATGTGGAAATATGTGCATCTTCATGAATATAATCTATAGGTTTTCTTGGAAATGTCTTCTGAAGGCACAAACTCATTTTATTCCCAGTACTGCAGGATACATCAGCTCTTTTCCATTCCTATAAAATTGATGTGCAGAGGGAAATGGCCAAAATATGAGAAGATTATCTGGGGTTTTGTGTCCTTCCTCTTTGCCCACATTATCCATTGATTACTTTAATTCCAGGAACAGCAGGTTATGCTGGGCATCTTCAAGTACTTAACAAAGAAAAGGGTTTGATTCATTGACAAAAATTAAGTTAAATCTGTAGGGAACACTTGTTCCTACATCACATAATGCAACCACTTAAAATTATCCATTCCTTATTAGTAAAGATCTCGAGTTAATGGCTGATCTTGTAAAAGAGAAACCCAAACTCTCCATTTCATAATTTGCTGAGAACAAAATGTAATTTCAGCTTATTCCTGCTGTTACCTACTCGAGAGGCATGAGTCAGTTTAGGGGGGAAATGAGGGACAGCTCTACAGTGAGAAACGTTAAATCACCCTGTTCTCTATTTTTTTTTTTGGCCATGAACGTGTATAAAGGAAAAAAATCTGTACCTAAAGGTTTCTTTATTACCCTGCCCGAGGGGTCTGTGATGCTCACACTGTGAAACTGGTAACTTAAATATCCTGGACTAACTTGAATCTACAAACCTGCACCAGACCTGTGCCAGGGAGTGCACAGAAACATAAAGGTGAGGTGAATGTGTCCTGAGGGAGAGGATGAACACTGCTCTGAGAGGCAGAGCCGAAAGGAGGGATCTGCCTGGATATGCGTAAGGTCCTGTTTATCTGCTTACTATGTGATGCTGCTATTGCCATGGCAACAGGATGGTGACATGGTAATCTGCCATTCACAAATAAAATAAGGCATCTTTTCAGGCGTTCTCGATATGAAAAGGAAATGAGCCTCTGAATAAAACCTGCTCGCTCTGTAGTTCGTTGCACAAATACATGGCAGGCACTCAGATGCCCTGCCTGGCTTTGAGGAGGAACAACTAGCAGATAATCACATTTGCTTTGGTCGGTTCTATTTTCAGTTTACTTGGGAAAATGAAATGCTGTGTGTCCTGACTGCCCAGGACAACGTTATCCTGTATATGCAGACCATTTACAGACCATTTTTAGAGGCAATCCCTTGTGGGCGTCCCTCCTTCCCAGCACTGAGTACAGATATTAATAATGAGACAAATTAGACACTTTTCATCACATGTAGATACTTTTTGCCTTTGATACGTGGCCACTGGGCTTCACATTGTTGGTATTTAATTGGTGTATTAAAAGCCCATGGTTTCCCTGTGGTTTGAGCAGCTCAGAAGTTTGAGGCAGAGGAAGCGCTAATGTGCATCTGTAGCTGGTTTATAAGAGGAGATTGAAGCCACGGAGTGTTTCTGTAAAGGTTTTCTGAATTGATTGGTTTTGTACCTGTTTCTGTCTCCAGATCAGCTCCCTGGACAGTCAGAGTTTTTTTACCCTGTCTCTCCTGTGCTTTGGGCACATGTACTCACAAATGAGCCCAGAAGATAATCACTGAGCAAACAAATCCAGGCATGAAATAAAGAGCTACGGGCTTTGGATTAAATATATTCTACTTGTTTCTGTCAGATAAGGATGTGCAAAAAGGAGCAGGAAGAATATGTGGTTATTGATGGCCGTGCAAACTTGGTGGGGTTTATTTTTGGAATATGTCATATCGGAGGCTTCTGCTTGAGGAATTTGTTTACCTCTTTGTGTATCCATTGCACTGCTTATAAACAAAGACAACAGTACTTGAGGTATTATCAATCTGCAAAATTTAATCCAAGGCTTAGTGTCTTTAAAGGGTTTCGGGATTCTCTGAAACAAATGCACGTGGAAGGGAATCCTTTGAAGGCTGTTGATTTTACTGAGCTCCACATTGTTACAGAGGTGTCCATATCTGCACTGAAATCAAGGCAATTAGTTACCTAATTAGCAATTAGTTCTGTGTGCACAAAACTGTTGAGGTGTCCAATTCCTACTCGTGTTCTACAAGTGTTTTGTCAGACCCAGGCCTGACACTCTCTTGCACGGAGAGATGGCTGTGATGGGATTTGGGTGCAGGTTTGCTGATGGTGTGTTCTGGTTTAGTTTTCTTCTAAAATGATCAAGTCAGGAGGAGCCAACAGGTCTTAACAAAGAGACTTTTTGTGTCTTATCTGGTATCTTAAGCAACCTTGACTGTTGTTCTGGGGTGTAACGATGTGCTCTCCCTTCCTGAAGACCCTGTTACCTTCTTAGCCGTGTTTGAAACAAAATGGACAAAGATATACTGCACTAGGTGAGGAATTAATGTGATCACACTTCCAAGGAATTGCTGCAGCTTTCCTTGCAGAAACTCACACAAAGTGTCATCTCTACCCGCTGCTAAAACAGGAGGTGGGGAAATATGGTCAATAAATGAGAAATGCAAGAGAAAATGGCATCAGCATCAAGCTGTGTCCCCCAAGTGTAATACTAAATGAAGATATTAGACAACAAACAAAAACACGTGTAACATCAAGCAGATTTTATAAGTACTGTTCCAGATCTCTAATTTAAATTTGGATTTCACGTTGTGAAGTCAAAAAATAATGAGGTTTGCTTTAACTTGGAGGACTTGGAGCAGTACAGCTGAGGAACAGGGAGTTTCTTTCCCAAGTAATACGTGATGCTGAGGATGTGAAATCCAGGGAGGAATCAAACCCACTCCAGAGTCATGGCTGGGACCTCTCTGATAGCCATCAGGAAGGCTGTCATAGCGGGAAGATGAATTTCTCCCACAAGAGAGACTTTCGCAGGAAGGCTTTTGAAAAGAAATGTTCTCGTAAGTAAATTGTACAGCTCATATAGATTCAAGGTCAAGGGGTTGGAATGAGCCCTGTCCAAATGTTAGCAGGAAATAAAACTGTAATAACAGCAGCCTTTCACTGACATCAGCTCCTAATTTATAGGCACCCTAAGGAGCCCCTACCCTTCAGGAGACTGGCTTTATCTTTCTGGAGTTGAAGTTACAAACAGACTCTATTACCAGCTCTGTTTTCAGGCTACACTGTAGATTTTACTCCTGAAGGCGGTTTGACCTAGAGGACTTCATGTTTCCTGACAGCACGAGGAGAATTTCCCCATAGGTTTAAAGATGAAGGGCCTGTGTATTTTTGAGATAGGGATTATTTAAAAAATGACTCTTGCATTTAAAATCTCCACTCTGTTTGGGTCTCTGGGCCAGGCTGCACAAAAGGCCATGCCAGGAGTGGGGCTGACAGCAAAGCACAACTGTAGGAAGGAAGAGAAGTCATCCAAAATGCCTCTGTACTAACAGGAGATGGGAAAGGGGGAAGTCTGGCAAGAGGACTAAACAGTTAAGCCATTTTTAATTAATTTTCTTTAAAGGTTGTTAGGAAAACATTTTCATAAACAAGGCAATAAATTGCTTCCAACTGCTTGCTCAGGCATCTGCCTCTGCCTTTTCCCCCATGTGCCTTGGCTCGTGGGAGGAGGGGAGGAGGGGGCCTGGGAGATGGGAAGGGCTGAGATTTCTGTTCCCAGAGCAGCTGGGAAAGCCCCACGGTGTCACTCTGCTCCTCTGAGTGGCTCCGGTTGCTTGGCATTCCTAAGCCTCGTCAAGGACCACACAGTGTCCTTACCATTTACAGATTCCAGGTTTTCTTTGTCCTGCTCAATAAGCCGGTAGAATTATCCTGAAAGGGCTGTAAATTGTACAAGTGCTCTGTGCTCTGGGCAACGTGGGGAGGATGGAACAGCAGCACAAATGAGGAAAAGGGGAAGAAACAGCATTATCTGTCACGATTAGCAACAGGTTAGCTATGTAAAAAGCATATTTTCAAGCAGCTCATTTTAAAAAAGCACAGTGAAATCCAGGAGCTTCCCTTATTTGCTTTGTCGAGATTTCTCCCAAACCACACAACTTTCTCCCTCTCCCAGTGAGGATACGTGTGCCAGACTTCAGGAAACTGATAACCTGCGTACAAACCCCTTCCTAAAGCTTCAAAGGTCAGCTGGTACCTGCAGAGTCCCCAGTGATTCTGTTCCCTGTGATCTCACAGGGGTGCTCGGGTGAAGGGCTGCTCCCTCTCCAGAAAGCCTGGGGCGGTGGAGACAAAATTCAGCCCAAGTTTGAGTCACAAAGAGGCTCTTTTTGGGGTGAGTTTCTAACCTTGCTGCCCTTGCTTATCTGTGTAAGTGCACAGATGTCACAGAGACAAAGGTATCCTGGTGAATCTTTGGGGAACTTTTACTCACTAAGGCAAATTCTTTGTTGAGGATCATCTGCTCCACCAGTGAGGACTCGTTGTGGAAGAGGTGGGGCTGCATGTGACTCCACATGTGGGGAAACCACCAGAACTCATCCACAGATCTCAGCAGCAGGTCATCACCCTCATCCTCCTCCTCAGTCCCTGCAAGAGAAAGAAAGAGAGGGAAAAAAAGGCGATAGAAAAGCAAGAGCAAAAAAGGCCCATGATTGGTTTTTGAACAGAAAAGAGGCTGCCATAAAACCTGCTGCCCTTGGCCTGGCTGCCTCCCTGTGCTGGGGGTGGATCACACAAGGCTAAAATATTAACAGCTACTATTATAGTTATAAATAAAGCCAATATTAAATAAAAACATTAGGATTTTATATTTTTTTTTTTTTAGTGTATGCGGTCTTAAAAGCCCAAACCCCCTCCTTTTCTCTAGTGGCTTAATTTTAATGCCACACTATCCTTTCATCACCATAACCTGACGACTTGGATTTAATGGGACAAAACAGTGCCAGGAATATTAATGCTGGTTGCCAGGTCTTTTGAAAGCTGGACAAAAGATGACGTTCAATCAGTATTAAAGAAGGAAAGGCTCGGCATGTATCTGTTATTTTCCATTTTGTCCTGATAATAATGTCACTGCTAAATACAAAATACTCTTAATATTAAGACAACATATGGGTGATAATGAAATCTTATCAATGCCACCTCTCCATCCCCCTTGTAACTGCCTCTTTTTTAGCCTTGGTTAATTGAAATCTGATAATGTTTGGTAAAGTGTGAAACAAGTTTGCAATAGTTTCAAAATATAATTAGGTGGACAGCATGAAGCAGTAATAGCAGAGGGCTTCCAAATATTTACTAGGGCTCAGTATCCAATTTTTGCCAGATTTAATCTTGAAGTCAAACCAATCAAACCTCCTGTGCTAGTGAGGAGTATCTGCTTCAGGCAGAAGTGTGAGTGTGTGGTTATATCCAAGGAAAACCTTCCATTTGGGGAAGGATACGATGCTGCTCCCGCCCTCTGCAGATGTGTGTGCCCTGCTTTTTTAACTGGAAAGGCACAGTGACATTCCAGTAACTTCTCCCTCAAATAACTCAGCAATATTTGATTTATTAGCAGCTTTCCTTTGTGTTCCTTTACCATTTAAACGCTTTTATTTGGCTCCAGTGGAAGGAACAATTGCCAGAATCAGGGTAGTGATGCAAACACAGAGATCTTGTCTTCTTACAAGCCTTTTAATGCGTTGCAAAAATCACTGGAGGAAAATGCTGCACGGGTGTCAGCGTTTAGTTGGCAGGAACAAGCAGAGGTGCCTGTTCAGTGCCTGCACCTCAGCTCTTCACTTTTGTTAGTCCCTTCTGCAGTGGCTTTTGAAGAATGCCACTACACAAGGGGAGCATTCCTTTGAAACTTCCTCCTGCAGTCCTGAATCCCTTTGCTCCCCTCACTCTGCCGGTTCTAAGGAAGTTGCTGCCAGTGATGGAAGTGTTGCTGGAAAAAGAAAACACCCTTGTTTACCTGGTAATCTCTTACTGAAAAGAAAGGAGGGATGGCTGTCCCTCTGTGTCCTGCATTTGTTGAGTGACTGGTTTTCTGGGACGTGTTGTTCACCTGCAGTCACTCAGGGAAGAAACTTAACACAGGCTTTCAAAATAGGACAGGGGAGAGAGAAAATGGGGCTTGTGAAGCGAGTGAAGATATCTTTGATAAGCCAAAGGCAGGGATGAAGTGGGGAAAAAGTGGATATTTGAAATATATAAAGAACTACAATCATCTCACAGAAGATTTAGGTCAGAGTATAATTTAGTGGCTTATTAACTTTTGAAGTAGAGTGTGGTTCTTGAAATAATGTCCTTATTAAAACCTATATTTTAAAATCCTATTTTTTTCCTACACATGACTTTGGAAATTTAGATATACAACTAATCAAACTTTGCACTTTTTTACTGTAACAAAAATCAAACAAGGTGAAGCGTAACACCTTTCCAGTGTAAAGAGAAACAGCCCCATCCTGTAACGGCACAGCTGAAGCAGAGGGGTTGGAAGTTTGACATTTGATGGTGGCGTTGCTTTTGAGGACAATTTTCCTTGCAAACCTTGGGAAAGAGTGTTGTTTGAGTTTATGGTTTCTCAAGTAGTGGTATTTCAAAAATAATCTCGTGTAAAGTTTTAATGGAGCATTTGATGGGCTGCTTACATTGTTTCAATATTTTTGCCCGATCCCTTACCCAGAGTATCGGAGGGATTTTGAGGTTTCATTTCCTGAACAATCAGCATTGTTTATGTAACTTTCTTCATTTTAACCTGAAATCTTATATCTGCTTTGAGATGTGTAGTGCTCTTTACCCAGGTGGTAATTCCAAGCTTGTTTGTGCATCAAAAGTAATCCCATCTTTTGAAGCTTCTTTGTTAGTGGCGTTAAATCTGCAGTGCAGAGTTTCCCAGTGCCACAGAGGGGATGGTGGTGATGAGATGAGCAGCGTTGCTGATGTGTCAGCTATTGTGGTACAGATGTCAGCAACATCTTTTGATGAAAGTGTGTAACTGTTAAATCTGCCAACACATCCCCACACTCATCTCCCTCCTGCAGTTTTAAAATGATCCAAGTTTTGGAAAGGAGAACAATCTCACACATTAAGGAAGTCAATAAGGCACAGCAGTTGCAGTGTGCTAATAAAACACGTTGAATATCTGATACTAAAAGCCTCTCTGGGTAAACAAGCCACATTTCCAGTAATTAAAGAACACCTTTCTATGCTTTATTTATAATGAGTCAATAAAGTGTATATTGCATGGAGAATACTTTGAAACCTTTCCACTGAGCTGATATGACAAAACACCATCTCCAACCTGTAAATGAAGTGTTCAGTTAAAAACCCAGCTGCACCACTGAGTCCAGGTCCCTTCACGGAGGCAATGACATCCTTCAGCTTGGAAGTACTTCTGGGCTGTTTCTGGGAGCCTGGAGAGCCTTAGGAGGATGGCACACATGCATATCCTTCTATTTTCTCTGTTATGTTTCAGCGTTATATCAGCTGATGGCACTGTGGAGGGCGTCGGGATGAAGGAAGGAAAAATACATTGGCAAGTCAGGGGGTTGATTTTGCAGACAGGCTGCATGTTTTCTGCCAGCCACTGTCCAGTGTGTCATGACATTCATTTAAAAAAATCATCCCTTTCTCCATCTCCTCCCTTCCTTGGACTGCTTTTCTCCACAGTGGACACTAATGGCCACAGCCAAGCGGCTCCTGCTTTAGAGCAGCTCAGCACCTCGGGCTATTTTTGTTTGGTTTCTCGTATGAAGTGTGTGTCCAATTAATCTCCAGAAGGAACAACTACACGGGCAGGTCAAGATGAAGTGAGAACACTGTAGTTCTGTCTCCAAAGCTGCTCTCTGATCACAGGTCTGCCATTGCCTTGTTATATGACTCCAGGCAAGTAATTCCATCTCTCTCTGCCTCTCATTTTTCTCAGGCTCTCCACCCCCTGTCCTTAGTCTGTCGGGTTTCCTGGGCAGCAGTTGCTCTCAGCATTGTGTGCTTGCACAAGGGGAAAACAGCCTGGGCTTAGTGACAGGGGTACAAACACATCATTTTGGTTGCCCTTTCTCTGCTCAACCCTCAAAGGCTTCCTGATCTCCCTTCTCCCAGGGTGACCTGCTTTCCTCCACAGCTGCCTCATGGTCCATGGAAGCAGGGAGTGCATCATTCCCAGCTTTTCAACTCACCCTCCCATCCTCTCACTGGCTCCTCTGCTCCAGATGAGCATCCCAGCTTCCCTGAATGTGCTGAGTGTCACTGAATGTCCCGACAGCTGAGGATTTTGGAGCTGGTCCTCAAAGTGGGAAGGGTATGGGGTTAGGAAAGGGGAAGGACAGGAGGTTCTCTCTTGCAGTGAGTCTCTTTTTGCCTTGGCAAAAGATCCACCAGGGATCCTCGTGGCTCAGTGGCAGAGGGGGGAAGCCTGAGTGGAGGTGCAGCAAAGTGTTACAGAGAAGGCAAAAGAGGAGGAAAAAACATGAAATTTTTAAAAAGGGTTATTGTGCTGTGGAGAAATGGAGCAAAAATGAGAAAGGGGTCGCGAGGAGGAGAAGTAGAAGTGCCTAATTGCACAGGAACAGTGCAAGTGTGCAGCCTGTTACTGCCCCCAGTGTGGAGACAGCAGGGTTTCAGGACAGAATTCTTTTCCTGTTGGTTTCCTTTTATCATCCCTCCTGATTTGCAGATCCCTGAGACAGATCACCTTCACAGGCGTAACAAAATCTTGTGCATCCATTCAAATGCCTCTGCCTCTTCAGAGCTTATGAAACAGGATTTTTCCAATCTTTTGTATTTCATCATGCCAGAATAAAACCTTAGCATGTCTCCTGTGCTGTCCTGTGCAATCAAAGATATCTCAGCAGCTACTTTGCCTCTTTTGTCACCCTGAGATTTACTACCACACATCTTTCAGGAAAATACCAAGGGCATCCTCGTGTAGCTGAGCAGCTCATCCGTAGTGTACCTTTACCCCTTTGGACAGTGGATGCTAAACTGGGGGGGAAAATGTATTTCCCACTGCTCCACTGGCTCACTGTGTCATTTAAAAAGGGCATGTTGAAAGCTAGGCTTGAAATTCTGTCACCTATTTAACTGCAGCTACCTGAGAGCAGGGGGTTCCTTCTTACCTGTGTGGTAAAATTTTCCTGAAAATCCAAGGTTGAAGGTAAAATTTGCAACCTGAGTGCGCAGTAAATTTTGAGTCTCTAGTAAAGCCTGAAATAAATAGAGAAATTAAGATGCATTTAGAAAAGTTAATATTGATTTTTGGAATGCCTCATTTTAGAAGTTGTGTCCAGCTGAGGAGATACAAAAAAAGCAGATACTGTTAAAATGCTTCACGTTTTATTTCGGGCTCATTCTTTATGAGACTGTTACATCAGAGTTTGATGGTCTAGAAATGCTGGTGATAGCACCTAAGTGCCCAAGCAGGGGATGGCTCTGTGGCTTGGACCAAGATATTATCCACTGTGGCAGTGATCTATGGCAGGACTTGGATCCAGCCATTCGGAGACAGCAAGATACTGGCTCACTAAGTCACCCATGCTCTGGGTTATTAGTGAAGCTTGATAAAAATGTGCTTAAAACTCGAAGTAAAATGAGGAATACTCTTTGCCATCCAGACAGGGGGGCACTGGGATTTACTTACCTGCAGAAACATTATGGATTGTGTCTGAATACCGAATTCAGGCTAAAGTGTGAATGAGCAAAAACCCCAGTTTTGATCTGTGGTACAAGTGATGTCCAGGTCAGAAAATAAATCCCTGTTTGATTTTATTCTCTCCTCCAGGCAAAAGATTGGCCCACTCTAAGTGAAATGGAAGGAAAGGGTGTTGCTTACAGGACAAATAAGTGTAGTCTTGCTCACCTATCCATTTTTTTTCTTGGACATATTTCCAGTTACTAGAGCAAGAGAAAGGATGGTTCAGTCTGTGTGAGCTATTTACATTTACTAGTAGTTGTCAACTTGGCACTGCTTCTAAAGCTGCTCCTTGTGCACTTCCAACCCCCAGCCCCCAGAATGTGAGCGAGCTACATGTGAGATGGGCAGTGCATTTATCTCCCCGTTGGTCTTGCCAATGCTGAATGGGTTATAAACTCTTATTTTCATCAATTTTCTGTGTCTCCATTATGTGGCTCTTGAGAACTTTTCCTATTATCTATTAATAACATTTCTATCGATCATGTTCTCGCCGAGTTCAGCGATAAAATGATTGCGGTGCTTTACACACGCTGCCAGCCCAGCTAATGTTGTCCTTCATTTGAAAAAAATTACATTTTGTGTGGTCATTACTAATTTCACTTAACATTACAGGAAAACAGTTATGCCTTTTTGCTCAGCCCACTGCTCTAATTTAAACAACAACAACCACCACCTCTTCCTGGGACCGTTAAACCAAAGGCATCTCCAGTCCGGTGTAAATGATGACACCAGGTTTGAGCGGCTGAGGTGTGTGACACAAAAGGCTGTCAGCCATTGTGCCTCTGCCTTCATTTTTTAATTAGTAACATTTAGTAGGTAGCAAGGAAGGCGGAAAGCAGAAAGAGGGTGTGTACCAGCTACAACAGCCACCAAGCCAATTCCTCTCCTTGCTGAAGGAAATAAAGTAATGTAAGGACAGTAAATCTCATGCTTTAGCATTAAATATTAAGGCAGCAGCACGGTTTGCAGCCTGTCTTGCCAGACATTTAGTAAGTTGATTATTTCAGTCCTGTGACGATTTCACGTGTGGGACTATATTTACATAATATATAACAACTAAACGCTCACTAAAATGTAAAACCTCGGAGATCAACACCACTGTTAGCTGAGACATTGAGGAGAATCCCCAGCTGGCAAAACCTGGCACTAAATTGGCACCATTGAAGTCAGAAGCACGGAATCTGAGTCATTACATTTTAGAACATGATTTTCCAAGCTCTGTACAGCATTTTAGATACGTTGAGGAAGACTGATGGGCTGAGCAAAATCAATTTAATTTTCCTTTGAGGAAAGAACATCTTGAGAAATTATCATCACTTAACATATAGTGCAAAGAGGTGCACGAAACAAACATCATTGTATCAGCCTGGCTTTTCCCTCTCCTTTCCCTCACATCTCCATAAGATGACAGAGCTGTGGGATGGGCAGGAGCCTTCCAGCCCGGTGAGGTCTCCCTGAAAACACAGAGCGAGGATTAAGATGTAAATCCTATAACCTGCAATGTGTCAAGCTTTTTTCTCTGTCTAAAGGGCAAATCTGCCATTCAAACTGGACTTGGCTTGATCCTAAAGGCTTTTTTTTTTTTTCTTCACTGTCATTTCCATTTATGCGTATTAATTTATAATATTAATTTATAATGCAGCTAAATTTCGGGTTTATGACCTCTCCTCTTTTTCTTGCTAAGATCTTGTCAGTTAAACCAGTCCAAACTTTTTTTGTCACTACTTGACTGTTTGGGGGAAGAGGAGTAATGTCTTCTGCATCCTTAATATGAAAAACCAGTTAAATAGATCATACTTAATAATAATCATTCTCCAAGGAGAGAACCATGGAACTCACCTGCACATGGAACACGTTTCCATGCCAGGCTAAGCAAAAAGTAGGGTTTTTTTAAGGTAATCAAAGCTGTTCTTTCAAACACAAACCCTTAATTGCCTGGAATCAATCAAAACTCACGGTTTTCATTCTATTAATTGATTCTTTGCTTTGTCAATGAAGCCTCTCTCTGACACCCACAAGATACAGTTTCTTCTTTATAGTGCATTTACATTCAGCAGCCTTTTACATTAATCCATATAATTACCTTTTGTAGATTTGAAGTTGCCATGTCTTTATTCTCCATAATTGGTGCATCTATTAGGAAGAAGTGATATTTTCCTGCTATGTCCTTTTTAATTATAACTCTATCCTTCATTTACATAATAAACTTTTTGGGGCGATTTCTGCAGGAACATTTCATGCCTAATAGGAAGCAATTTGCTTTCCTTCATTAAGTACATTAAAACTTCATGCCCCAGACATCATTGACTGTAAACATTTGATTCTGCTCGAATTTAATGCACCAAGGCATTTTGCTCTGCCATATTAGGTTTATTTATGTGCTGTGTTCTGGATTGTTAGCTGCTAATGAGACTTGGGCTCTTATTGCTCTGAGGCCCGAGCACTAACCTCATTTTAATGAGTTCATTATTTGCTGCCTTCTGAATGGAAGACAACAAATTTTCCTTTTAATTAAAGGTCAAAACACCTCTGGCTAAGGAAAGTGTAGAGGTTATCAAATCCTCAGAGAAGGGAAAAGAATGGCTGTTTGTGATTTTGATGCCGAGCATGGGCCGGCCAGGCTGAGGCAGGAGGTGTTTCTCTGGGGAGCAAAGCTCTGAATGTAAGCTAAGTGATAGCAACACTAAAACGTGGTACTAGTTAAAAAAAAAAAACCAAAACCAAAGCTGAAAGCCAGCCAAAGTAATTAAAGAGGCTTTACTCCTCACCCAAAGGTCTGGGTGGATCAATAGTGCTGCTAAAGCGTCAGCCCTCCTTTGCATGTGCAATGATTTACAGGGTGAAGAGGACGGAGGCAGATTATTTGAGCCAGCAAAATGTAAGCTTATTATTTCTTATGGAGGGGGGAAAGTGAGGCAAAGGTGGTCAATATTGGGGCTGTTTGTAGTGAGACAGGTGGGGATTGAAGCCCTGGGTTTGTGCGGTGTGCAAGTGCTCGGACAGGGGGTTGGAAACACAAATGGAAACTTTAGTTAAACTGAAAAATGGTTAATGATGGGAAATACTACACAGATCATTGTCCTCTGTCTCTCATTCCATACCTGGTCACCATCTTAATGGCAGACTGGGAATACTGGTTCATGTGCAGGTGAAGTGTTAGAGGCAGGAAGGGCAGAAAGCCCAAGATTTCATTAGAGCTCCTGGTCAAACACGTGCCCTTCCAGAGGCAACACTGTGAACGTGAATTTTGGGGGCAGCAAAACCTCAAGCTCCTGGAGCTTCCTGTCCCTGTGGTCACGGTGCCCAGAGTGCCCAGCCTGTGGGGCATTCCAGGCATCCCATTCCATGCCCAAGGAAACACGATTCTAAGTTACTATAGAGCCTGTCCGTGAGGGCTGCACGGTGTGGAGGGCAGATGAGAAAGGATGCAGCTCTTCCCTCCGTTTGGAAGGAGATTAAGGGAAGGAGGGGAAGTCAGATATTCCTGTTTTCCAGTGTATCTGTGATTTGCTGTCATCTTGAATTATTTTACGTGCACAAACTCGTTCTAGGAAGTGCTTCTGGCGTGGGAGGATGTGCCGGTGCCTGGCATCCCAGGGGTACTTGGCCAAGGTTACGCTGTCCCATCACCTGCTGAGGGATGTGACTGAGAATCTTGTCAAAGATGGGCTCACTTGCCATTACTCAAAGTCATTATTCATTTGGGAGCAGATCCTAGTGCTGGAAAGTGATTCCACTGCTGCAGGTTCTTTCTGTCTCGTGTGTGTGTATATATATATATATATATATGCTCACTATATACACTTTTCTATTCCTTTATATGTGCTGGAGATAGAAAATATGTGCAAATATTTGCACATATCTAACTGACATTACCTCTGCTTTGAGCAGGGGCTTAGATTAGATCACCTCCAGAAATCCCTTCCAACCCAAATTGGTTTTCACTTCCAGACAGCTTTCTCAGGCTTCTCTGGCACATAGCTGTTGTTAATGCCAAGAAGCCTTTTAATGCATTTATTCATTTTTGTCCCCAACATCTGTCCTTAGTGCTTTTGCAGTTATGGAGCCCTGAGGTTCATTCCCAAGCTGTTCCTTGCAGCAGTTTGCTGGTGGTCTGTGGAAAGTTGGAGGATACAAAGTAGTAGTTTTGCTCTTGATTTCCAACTGAAAATTTGAAGGGAAGAAAAAAAAGCAAAGAATATTTTCAGCTGTGTTTCTCTGCAACTGCTGTCAGGATGTGATTTTTTTTTTGATTGCTTCTTCCTGCTCTTGCTCCTTCCCTGAAATCTATGCTAGGGAAATAAAAAGATAAATCTGACTATGCCTGATGTGGTCTTGGCAATTTTCAAAGCCAGTGGAACCAGAATTGATGGGAGTACCACAGAATAGTTATAATCATAGTAAGGATTGTTAGGAAGGTGTACAGTAATAACTAGCCACTTTTTTTTCTTTTTTTTTTTTTCCTGGTAGGGAAACTGAATTTGAAAAGAAAAAAAAGTGCTGCCTAGCCTCT